ATCTGCAGCCCTGGGAACGCATCTGTGGTCCTGCTTTTGCGGACCAATTGATTAGTGGAATTAGTTACTTGAAGTTATATTTACATTATGCAATTGATATGAATAGATTTGGGCCATTTGGAGTCTAGTACTCGTGGCAAGAGCGTGGTTTCAGGTTGATTTTTGAGTCGGTTCGAGGTAAGTGGCTTGCGTAACCATGTGTGGGGAGCTCACCTTAGGATTTGGTATTGTCAATGTATGAAATGCTTTGTACGTGAGGTGACGAGTGCGTACTTTCGCTAATTGTTGGAAATCATATTTTCATTAAGTAACTATAACTGTGTTTCCTTCCTTGTTTATACTACTTGCAATTTATGCCTACTGTTAGCTTAGGGAAGTATGTCTAATTGACTTAATTGCTTTAATTCCTCAAACTGCTTTATTTGAATTATATGCAGCATGCTAGGTTAGAAATACCTATTTTACTAGTATGAAATTGGATTGAATTGAATAATCTTCGTGTTGCTGCTGTGTGTTTACTTTGGGACTACGAGCGATATCCCGGTAGATCCCCCTTACCTGTTTATTTTGTACTACGGATTGATATTCCGGTAGATCTCCCCACACATTTATATTGGAACTACGGGACTGCACGCGATAGATTCCCCCAGTACTGGGTATGTACATTTGGGACTACGGATCGAGATTCTGGTAGATCCCCGCGCACTATGAGTCTGACTACAGGACGACACTTGGGAGATCCACTGGAATTTTTACATTTGGGGACTACAGGACGCTATTCTGGGAGATCCCCGATTGCTATCTTTGTGATGAGTTATGTTCTTATCTTTAAGTTTCTCTCCATTGTATTTGTTGTTATTCTTATTATCCTGTGTTACTTCATACTGTTAGCATTTAATTATATTATTGTATTCTATACTGTTTTACCTCATTTTTTAGCTAAAATCAGTAGGGCCCTGATCTTCCTCGCCACTACTCGACCGAGGTGAGGCTTGGCACTTACTGAGTACCGTTGTGGTGTACTTATGCCCTTCCTGCGCATGTTTTTCATGTGCAGATCCAGGTTCTTCGGCTCAGCCTACTATCCTTGAGGCAAGGCAATTCTTTAGAGACTTCGAGGTATATCTGTCACGTCCTTATACCGAGGAGTCCCTCTCCATTCTCTATTTTAGTTATAGCCCTTCTATATTTCTTTGATTTAGACATTCTAGAGTTAGAGCACGATGTAGTATCCATAGCTTGTGAATTCATGAGATTCTGGGTTTTGGGAAGTTGTTCAATTTTTGAGATCTTGTATTAGTATATGCCTAGCGGCATCTTAAACGCTTCTATATTTGTTTATCTTCAATTTTTATTAGTTTTTCCATATTTTGTTTTCTTTTTCCGCAATTGTTAGGCTTACCTAGTCGTAGAGACTAGGTGTCGTCATGACAGTTCACGGAGGGAGAACTTGGGTCGTGACAAGTTGGTATCAGAGCTCTAGGTTCATAGGAGTCATGAATCACAAGCCAGTTTAATAGAGTCTCGCGGATTGGTACGGAGACGTCTGTACTTATCTACGAGAGGCTATGTAACTACTAGGAAAACTTCACTTCATTTGATTTCCTTGTCGTGCGAGATTTTTGATATCACAATTCTAAACTTATGTTTTCTATTCTCTCACAGATGGTGAGGACACGTGCTACCGGAGATGACCAACACCGGCGCCCCCTGCTAAAGCCGTCAGAGGTAGGGGTTGGGGTCGGGGTAGATGCCAAGGATGTGCCCGTGGTGCAGCCAGAGCACGCATGCAAGCTGCCACAGAGGAGCCACCAGTAGCTCCATCCGGAGTCCAGGCACCAGATACGCCTACTGCTACTACTATTCCAGCACTTCATGAGACACTTACGCAGTTCGTGAGCATGTACACCACTCTAGCTCAGGCAGGGCTGATTCCCTTTGCTACACCCATATCCCAGGCCAGAGGAGGAGAACAGACTCCCGCCGCCTGCACTCCTGAGCAGTGATTCCAGGTTGGTCATATCCCAGAGGTTATACCGGTACCACATGCAGTTCCAGATCAGCCCGAGGACAGGGCAGCAGCTTCAGAGGATGAGTATCATAGGCTTGAGAGGTTCAAAAAGTATAAGCCTCATGTATTCAGTGGTTTAGCATCATATGATGCCCTGAGATTTTTGGAGGAGTGTCACTGTATCCTCCGCACTATGGGTATATCAAGATCGAGTTGGGTTTCTTTTACTGCCTTCCAGCTTTTAGGAATCGCCTACTAGTGGTGACTCAGTTTTCAGATATGTTCCTAAGAGTGTTTGTGATGTTCTAAACGTCAATACCACACAATAGGGGAGGTTATTTGTGTGGTACCAAATTTTCGCTCTAGAAGAACCTGGTTCTTCTAGGTGTTCTAACAACTACTGTTTGCGGAATAAAGAGTACATAAAATAAAGAACACAGAGATTTTTACGTGAAAAATACCTGGCTCAAAAGGTGAAAAAACCATGACCTACTACTCAGTAGAATTATCGCAAACTTCCACTAAAATCACTGAGCCAAAACAGCATTTACAAAAATACTTTGTAAACTTAAGGATTAACTCTAATCCCGTTGTGGCACACAACCTCAACTGTTGCAACAACTTCAAGTTAGCTTATAACTTGAACACTCAAAGTACCTAATACAATTGCTTCTATGATAGCTTAACGGTACAACTTTAAACCACCTACTACAATTGACTAGAATAAGAAAAAACACAATGGAACTGGTTCTTCTATCTCGTTCAAGTAGCTTTAGGAGCGCACACTCAAATCTCACACAAATTGCTTGCAAAATCGCCTTGCTCTTTTGCTTTCAATTTAGTTTAACTTCTGCATTTGCGCAATACATGTAAAAGAGAACAAACATTGTCATTTAATAGGTTAGAAATCAGAGTTTGATTGGGATTAAATTTCTAATCTTCTATCATAGTCGAGTCCTTGAAGATATCAAATTCTAACACTCTCTTTATCCAGATTGTGTTCTCTTCCTATAAGGAGACTTTCTCCCCTTATCCAATATGCAACCTTTTCGATCAGATCATGAGATATTGTTGTTTGATCAGTAGGACTTATCTCCTTCACATGCATCTCACATGTGTAGGTTGATCATGACAGTGCTTTACAAGATGGACCTGGTCCATGACTGAGTTCATTTGTCATTCTTCAAAACTTCACCTGTTCTTGGGCCAACAAATTCCCCCTTTTTGATGATGACAAACTCTGTGCTTTTTACTAATCAAAAACCTGTAAGAACTCAGCTTAACCATCAACACTAAACTTAGAAAATTTTCTTTTCATCAAGGACCAGGTTAATTAGGTTATAAATATCACTTATTTCAGAATAATGTGTAAAGCCCAATATCTCTTCCCCCTTTTGGAATCATCGAAAAGTTGCATACACAGTGTGAATTTCAGATTTTAATAAGTACTCATGGCCACTGGGGCAACTGCAAGTGCAATCATGGTGCAATCATCAGTAATCAAACAAACATATTTAAACTATCAAGGTCAGAATAATCATTGAACAAGAGAAAATAGCAGTTGTCATTGAGAGAGATATGTTGCCACTAACAATCTATAAAAAGAAAGAAAAACATCCAAACCATGAGCAAAAAAATAGAAAAGTCCCTAATCTGGGTGACTGGGGGGTACTAGAACTAGTTCAGGAGACAGAAACTAGGAGTCCTAAGGCTTGAAGGAACTGAAGGGTTGAGTTTTGAGAAGATTCAGTATGTTTTGAATAATTCCATCATTCTTCTCCTTTTCTTTTGCAAGCTCAATTCTGAGACCATCCCTCTCAGCTTCCACTTCAACCACACAAGCCTTGAGCCTAGCAATTTCAGCATCCTTAGTTGTACATTCCTGGNTCCAGTATCTCCTCCAGTTTCACAGCATCAAACTGCACTTGAACTCCCTTCACCTGGCTACTGACAACTCCATCCTTAACAGCAACATTTGCCATAAATTCAATCAACTCATTTCTAGCTAGTCTACCTTCCATCTGAAGGACCGTGTCCTTCCATCCCTGAGCAGCTAAAGAGTCCACCAATCTCATCATCCCTGGTTCCACCAGGTTCTTCAACAATCTACCTTTTAAGATTTTTCTTCTGCCAAAAATGGCAAGCTTATCCTGTTCCTTCTCAGATTCATCATCTTCTTCTTCTTCTCCACTCCAATCATCATCATCATCATCATAAGAAACTTTGGTTTGATTAGCTTTCACTGCAGATCTTGTCCTCTTGGCTAGTGTGGGTTCAGCAGCTACAGGCACAAAGGAGGACTTCTTGGAGGAAGTCTTGGGTTTCTTAGGCTTGGGTGTAGGAACCTCCACTGTTGTACCCCTCTCTTGATGGACCAGTTCCATCTCTTCTTCCTCAATAGCCTCTGAGGATTCTGCAACCTTTCCCTTTCCCTTATTCTTTTTCTTACTTTCTTCTAAAGCCTTTTGTAGATCAGTTTCACTCTGTTTTACCCTACTTCTTGTGGATCTACCCCTAGGCACTAAAGAGGCAGTAGGTGTTGGGGATGAGTCTTTTTTTTCTTGGACGGCTTGGGAACATTTGGGGCTTTTGGTGTAGTAGCTTTGCATTTCTTTGGGTCATAACTTGCTCCAACTTTTTTACAGTAGGTCAGCCAAGGTTTCTTCAGTAGATGAAATAGGTTCATCTCTTTGTTTGCTTAGATGAACCAACCCCTCAGCTGCTTCTCCAGAAGTACTTCCCCCTGACTTCATGCCACTCTCATCTAACCTATCTTGTGCAACCCCACATATAGCAAGAACTGCCCCTTCCCTTTTCCCCTTTCTTCACCACATGCACCCTCTCTCTCTTTTTCTTTTTCTGACTTCTTTTTACCTCCACTCCTACTCATCTCAGGCAACTAAACATCCCTAATGGGTCCAACCAGAACAAACCTAGTTTCTAAGTTTTCAACCACAGAAGAACTTACCTCAGAAGGAGATTCTTGAGTCTATTCAGAGCCAGAAGACCCATGTCCATCTCCCTCAGTCACGGATTGAAAGGATTCTGACTCAGAGCTAGAATCAGACTTTAGAGATAGGCTTTCTTTTACTTGGCTAGCTTTCAACCTTTTATTTAAAACCTTCCTCAGAGCCTCAGATGCTACAATTTTTCGAGCTAGCATTTTCTGCCTTTGAAACCTAGGTTTTGGAGATTTACTGGGTGGAGTAGATGAGGATGAATTTGAGGGAGATGGTGGTGGAGGACTGTCAGGATGATCTTGGTGTTTAGACATGATTCTTCATTTCTTGAGAGAATTTGGGAATTTTGGAGAAGAGGGCAATTAGTATTGAAGAATAATTTTTGACGGTTTTAGAATTATGAAGAAGACTGGAGATGTAGTGTGTATTTAAAGCGAATTAGATATTAAGTAAGTAACGACAGCTTTTTCAAGGGTCAAAGAGAAGTCTAATCAAACTGAAATTCCAGAATTTTAATGATAGATTTGGCTTCCCTAGATATTAGGCAAAAATCACAGTTTAGAGTTCTAGATGAACGGAACTGGTTCAATGCTCAACGGATAGAATTTTCTAGGAATTTGACAAGTATAGGACTTCTGATCATGATTGAATTATTAATCTTTCTAATTGTGCAGAGTATAGAAAACATACCTGAGCTTTCATATGAACCCATACTGATGAATCAGGTTCTTCATATAGAACTCTCTTGAACACGCTTCAAATGCCATAATAGAGAAAATGTTGTAAGAGATCAATGAGTCATATATACTGTTATGCAACGCCTCCCTGATGTTCTTTGGAAGGGCGACGTAAGGCTAAGCAACCGATGTCAGTGCGGTTACTGTCCGCCAATGAGGTCCCCTCCGCACGCTAGACTAGATTGTCAGTGCCGTGCGGGAAAACCAAAGTCACGAGCAATTGCAGAAGCTGAGAGAGAATTGAGTTTTGAATGATGATGATGATTTTATTGATGACTGAACTGCTGATTACAAAAGATACGTTGTCGAGGGGGAGAGACACCAGTACAGAAAATTGCTTGCTTGAAAATATTTGATTGTTTGGTCCCCCTTAATAATGCTTAAAAAAAATAAGCCAACATTACATGACTAGTCCTAATAAAGCTGTAGAAGCACACTCAATGAAAATGATGTAAACTAGCCTATAATTACAATGAAAAGGACTTAGTTTATTACAATGTAGAACTAAGTCCGATGGCAGCAACTTTGTCTCGGGTCAGGGTCTGCGCGCGCGTTGTTGTGGGCACGCGCGACACTTGCTGTGTTGGCCTGAGGCTGGGCGCTGGTGCTTGGCATCAGGGTCTGTGCGTGAGGCGCTGCTAGAATGGGCCTGCAGCTGGGCGCTAGCGAGGCATCAGGATCTGCGCGTGCGGCATTGTTAGGGCGCGCGGCGCTGTTGTCATTGGCCAGCCCTTGGGCCCCTGGCGAAAGGCATCGGTGGGGCGACAGAGGCGCATGCATGCTTGTCACTTGGCACAGCCAAGACCACGGGGCCGACCATGGCGCTAGGCATTGTGAGGTTTGCTAGGCCGCCATGGGGTGCAGCCAAGGGGTCATGGGGCGTGTCTGGAAAGTAGCCCATGACATTCTCCCCCACCTGAGTTGGCGCCGTCCTCGGAGCCATATGATGATGATGATGATGATAGCTGTTGGATGGGAGACATGCGCCCCTCTGTTCTGTGAGCTTGCTATTGTAGCGACGCAATGATTTCATGCGGCTGACATGGAAGATTGGATGGATCTTCCACCAGGATGGAGTTTTCACCTGGTATGTAGACTTCCCAATGCGTTTTTCAATAGGTAGGGGCCCGATGTAATTTTGTTGCAGGCGAGGGTCATGGGTCCTCTCTGCAAACAAGTACCGCTTTGGGATGCATAGCATTACTTTGTCCCCTGTTTGATGTTGGGCAAAGCAAAGATTTTGTTCGGTGAATCTTTTTGTCCGCTCTTGGGCTTTGACTAGATAGCTCCGCACTATCCCCATGTTGCGCTCCCATTCGCTCGAGAAGTTGGCAGCTCGAGGAGATTTCGGCATGGTTGATGCATTCACCGTTTGTGGGAGAAGTGGTTGCTGTCCAGTAACAATTTCAAAAGGGCTTTTGTTGTTATGATGGCTCTTTTGAGAATTGAAACACAGTTGAGCAGCATCCAGGAGCTTCACCCAATGCTTCTGTGATCCGGTTGCAAAGTTGCGGAGATATTCCTCCAGCATGTCATCGAACCGGTCTGTCTGGCCATCCGATGGTGGATGGATGTCTGAGTTATGACTCAATGTTGACCCAAAGCACCTGAAGAGATGGGTCCAAAAGTTTCTAGTGAAGCGTGAGTCGTGCCTACTAACAATGTCTTTGCGCAGGCCCCAATGTTTGATAATGTGCGAGAAGAAGAGTTGAGATGTATCTTCTGTTGATGCGTTTTGCGGGGCTGCTATGAAGGTTGCATAGTTTGAAAATTGATCTATGACAACCATGATGGATGCAAGATTACCGACTTGGGGCAATCCCGTGATGAATCTGAGGGAAACACTTTCCCATGGTCTCTATGGGACATATAATGGATGCAAGGGTCCCATCTGTGATGAGTGATCCAACTTGTCCTTGTGGTATGGCTGACAAGTCTTCACACGCTGAGGAGCATCACCAGTCTTTTGAGGCCGATGACATGATGGTTGATTGTTGCCGCGAAGGGTAGCCGGAACCAGGGGTTCATGTCTGTTGACTACCTTCTCCAACTGCATGGCCGAGATGTTTTCAGCGGCCATCTTTATGGGAAAGCATGGTATGGTGCAGGGCTTGGCCCCGTTTTCTCCCATCATCAGGAGCATGTTGGTATATGGTACCGGTATGGTGTTGGTTTGCCTCATGAACTCCAAACCCACTATGATGTCGAAGTCATCTATGATGTCGAAGCCATCTATGATTGCGATGCACAGGTCGATGCTTCCTTTGTATGGGCCAAGTTTCACCGGGACATTTGTAGTTGTTCCACCCAATGTCTGGGGTGGTGAGTTGATAGCCTTGACGCGGCCTTTGCTCTTTTGCACGACGAGACCCAGGCGCTCTACTTGAGTTGAAGCCAAGCAGTTGTGGGTAGCACCCGTGTCTATCAATGCATGAAGGGGCTTGCCATTCACTTTCAATTCGATGAACATTAGGGTCCTCGCTTGTTTAGGAGGCCTCTTGTCTATCTTTTCCTTCCCTTTCTTGGTGATTGGGACGAATGTTTTCTTAGGAGGACATGCACTGGTCCCCGCTAAGGCATGGGGGATAGAGCCAACAATTGCATTGAAGGCGCCTACCTGGTCTTCTTCTGATATGTCTGATGCATCTAACTCATCCTCGACAGTCTGATGAGCATTGAACTTTATGTTTGGGCATTCATTGTTCCAATGTGCCCCGCCGCAATGACGGCATTCAGAGGGAGGATTTCTCCCCTGATTGTTATTGATGGATGCAGCACTGTTGCTGTTGGAGAGAGGAGTCTTAGTTTTGGATGCACTCCGATATCCCCCACTTTTGCTTGGGCCACCATTGCTGGGATGGTTCTCGTTGAATCCCCCTCGGATAGACGGCTGGGGCCTGTCATTCTGAGTTCCCAAATTATAATCGCCAAGGCATTCTGCAGCTTGAATGGCATTGGGCAGGGTGTCTATCCGTTGTCTCTTTAGTTCCATACGGGCATGAGGTTTCAAACCTTCTATGAATGTGAAGAGTTTGTCTTTGTCCCCCATGTTGCGTATGTTTAGCATGAGTGCAAAGAATTCGCGCACGTACTCCCACACTGATTTGGTGTAGCAGAGTTCCCGTAACTTTCTCCTTGCATTGTATTCCACATTTTCGGGGAAGAACTGCAGGCGTATGGCTACCTTCAATTTATCCCATGTCTGGAGAGCATCTTCACCGACCTTGATGGCTTCGTATTTGACCCGCCACCAAAGCTTAGCATCGCTCTAAAGATACATGGCAGCAGTCGCTACCTTTTTGGATTCTTCCAAATGGCCCACGACATCGAAGTATTGTTCGATGTCGAAGATGAAGTTTTCCACTTCTTTAGCATCTCGGGATCCATCGTATGGCTTTGGCTCCGGTATCTTAAGCTTTTGTGGAATGGGGGTGAGGTTTGTTGTACCCCTGATGTGGTTATTGCCTCCTCGAAGCAGGCTCTATAGGGCAGCATTAACAATATTGAGCTTGCCTGTCAAGTCGTCTATGGTTTGCTGCATGACAGTTAGTCTATCTGCCTTTTGTTGCCGATGGGCTAAATCGTCGGCACGCTCCTATTGGAGGTCCTCAAATTTGCCATGAATATTGGCAGTTTCGATGGTTGCCGTTTGTCGGTCATCCTCAGAGTCACGACTGATGTTTGCAATGTCATTTTCTGCCTGCCACATTCGGCGGTCCAGGTCGTCCAACCTTTGCACTACGTTGTTGTTTTGATCAGGCACCGTATCCACGATGGGTCGTAATTGGTCAACCGTCTCTTCTAGGGATGCTAGACGCTCCCCATGATTCATCATGGTCAGAAATGGTGATGATGGCAAATGTGTTCCCTCGTCCGATGTCGAGCCTAGGCTCTGATACCAACTGTTACGCAACGCATTCCTGATGTTCTTTGGAAGGGCGACGTAAGGCTAAGCAACCGATGTCAGTGCGGTTACTGTCCGCCAATGAGGTCCCCTCCGCATGCTAGACTAGATTGTTAGTGTCGTGCGGGAAAACCAATGTCACGAGCAATTGCGGAAGCTGAGAGAGAATTGGGTTTTGAATGATGATGATGATTTCATTGATGACTGAAATGCTGATTACAAAAGATGCGGTATCGAGGGGGAGAGACACCAGTACAGAAAATTGCTTGGTTGAAAATGTTTGATTGCTTGGTCCCCCTTAATAATGCTTAAAAAAAAATAAACCAACAGTACATGACTAGTCCTAATAAAGTTATAGAAGCACACTCAATGAAAATGATGTAAACTAGCCTATAATTACAATGAAAAGGACTTAGTTTATTACAATGTAGAACTAATTCTGATGGCAGCAACTTAGTCTTGCAGGTCAGGGTCTGCGCGCGCGTTGTNTCAGGGTCTGCGCGCGCATTGCTGTGGGCGCGCGCGACACTTGCTGTGTTGGCCTGAGGCTGGGTGCTGGTGCTTGGCATTAGGGTCTGTGCGCGAGGTGCTGCATGAATGGGCCTGCAGCTGGGTGCTGGAGAGGCATCAAGATCTGCACGTGCGGCATTGTCAGGGCGTGCGGCGCTGTTGTCATTGGCCAGCCCTTGGGCGCTGGCAAGAGGCATCGATGGGGCGATATAGGTGCATGCACGCTTGTCACTTGGCGTAGCCAAGACCACCGGGCCGACCATGGCGCTAGGCATTGTGAGGCTTGCTAGGCCGCCATGGGGCGCGGCCAAAGGGTCATGGGGCGTGTCTGGAAAGCAGCCCATGACAATACACATGTCACAGGAGTATACTAATAAAAGTATGAAGCTGAGTAAGAATTAATCTAGATATTTATATAGGTTCAGAATTACTAGCCAAAAAAAATTCATTTTGTTTTCATTGTGCATTCTGAGCTGGACCTATTAGGTGATCTTAATCATCCCTAATTCCAACCTGTTCCTTTCAAAGTTTTCTCTACTCAGTGCTTTAGTGAAGATGTCAGCAATTTTCTTATCAGTAGCATAGAATTCTATAGAGATCAATCCTTTCTCATAGTTATCTCTTAAGAAGTGGTGTCTAACATCTAGGTGCTTAGTCCTCTTATGATGAAAAAGGTTCTTTGTCATACTTATAGCAATAGTATTATCACAGAATATAGGAATGCAACCAACTTCAATGCCAAAATCTACCAGCTACTGTTTGATCCATAACAATTGAGCACAACAAGATGCAGCAGCAATATATTCAGCCTCAACAGTGGATAAGGCCACTGAAATTTGCTTTTTAGTGGCCCAGGATACAAGACATGAACCAAGAAAGTGAGCCATACCTGAGGTGCTCTTCCTATCTACTAGAAAACCTGCATAATCAACATATCCTACTAGATTGAAATTACTACCTTTGGGGTACCAAAGACACAAATCAGTGGTGCCTTTCAGATATCTTAGTATCCTCTTGACAGCAGTCAAGTGAGACTCTTTTGGATATGCCTGAAAACGAGCACAAAGCCCTACACTGAAAACAATGTCAAGTCTGCTGGCAGTAAGATACAAGAGTGAACCAATCATACCCCTATACAACTTTTGATCAACTGATGAACCAGGTTCATCAATGTCTAATTTAGTGGCAGTTGCAATGGGTGTCTATTTCTTTTGATTCTTCCATTTTAAACTTTGTGATAAGCTCTTTTGCATACTTTTGCTGATGGATCATGGTTCCATTAGGACTTTGTTTGATCTGCAAGCCTAAGAAGAAGTTAAGCTTACCCATCATACTCAGTTCAAACTCACTCCCCATTAATTTTGCAAAGTCCTTACTTAGCTTATAAGTGGTGGCCCCAAAGATTATGTCATCAACATATATTTGTACCACCAGGAGATCCTTACCTTTTTCCCTTAAGAATAAGGTACTGTCAATTTTACCTCTTTTGTAATCATGCTTCAGTAGGAATTTGGACAGTCATTCATACCATGGTCTTGGGGCCTGCTTGAGTCCATAGAGAGCCTTGTCTACCTTGTACACATGCTCAGGACATTCTTTACTCTCAAACCCTGGAGGCTGTTTTACAAAGACTTCTTCTTTCAGGTAGCCATTTAGGAAGGCACTTTTGACATCCATTTGATGAAGAGTGAATTCCATGTGTGCTACAAAGGCTATGAGGAGTCTGATTGCCTCTAGTCTTGCAACTGGAGCAAAAGTCACATCATAATCTATGCCCTCCTCTTGGCTGTAACCTTGGACCACCAGTCTTGCCTTGTTTCTTGTAATTGTTCCATCTTTATCAAGTTTGTTTCTGAAGACCCATTTTGTACCAATAACTGATTTGTCCTTGGGTCTTGGAACTAGATGCCAAACTTGACTTCTCTCGAACTGATTGAGTTCATATTGCATTGCATTCACCCAATCTGCATCCTGCAAAGCCTCAACAATATTTTTAGGTTCAATAAGAGATAAAAAGGCATCAAAAGCACATAGATTCTTTAATTGTGATCTAGTTTTGACTCCAGATGTTGGATCAGTGATAATGTTCTCAATAGGATGAGAACTTTGATACTTGTGAGGTTTCACAACCAACTGATTTCTGCTAAATGTTTCTCCCATGTTCTGTTGCTGAGGAACAGAGTCATGAACAGGTTCTTTTAGGGAATTTATTTCAATTCTTCTTTGATCAGTTCCCCTTGTCAGGTTGCCCAAGATGGAAGAACCTGTACCATAACCTATTCCTTCTTTTGGTGCCACTTTGACTTGTGCTGAGGCCTCAGTCAAATCCTTTACCAATCCAATGGCTTCATCTTCATGTTCCTGTCTCTCAGAAAGAATGTTAGTTTCATCAAATACTACATGTACATTTTTTTCTACACACAAAGTTCTTTTATTGAACACTTAATATGCTTTGCTATGTGAAGAATATCCCAAGAATACTCCCTCATCACTTCTGGGATCAAACTTACCTAGGGAGTCTTTTCCATTATTGTGCACAAAGCACTTGCATCCAAATGCCCTAAGATGGGATATATTTGGTTTTCTCCCTTTAAGTAACTCATAGGGAGTCTTCTCTACAAGAGGTCTAGTCATGCATCTATTGATAATGTAACATGCAGTGTTTACGGCCTCTGCCCAGAAGCTATGGGGCAGTTTACTAGAAAGAAGCATAGTCCTAGCCATGTCTTCAACAGTCCTGTTCTTTCTTTCAACCACTATTTTGTTGAGGAGTCCTAGGGGCAGAGAAGTTATGAACTATACCATTTTCATCACAAAATTCAGCAAACTTAGCATTTTCAAATTCAGTTCCATGATCAGACCTGATTGATGCAAGTTGATTTCCTAATTGTTTCTGAGTTTTTCTAACAAAGGCAGTGAACATTTGATGTTAGAAATAGTACCCAGGTAACTCTAGAATAATCATCAACAAGTACCATTACATATTTCTTTCCTCCTCTACTCATGGTTCTCATTGGACCACAGAGATCCATATGGACCAGTTCCAACGACTTGGTTGTGCTTACCATTTTCTTGCTTTTGAAAGATGATCTTACCTGCTTCCCCCTGCACAGGCCTCACAAACTTTGTCTTCTTTGGTAACCCTATCACCAAGTCCTTAGAAACCAATTTGTTTAGCTGATTCAGACTGGCATGACCAAGTCTTTTGTGTCACAAGAGGGGATCATTATCCATCACACTTAGGCAGGTTAGTTCATTTTCTAATAGAGTATACAAATCTACAATATAAATATTTTTAACTCTTTTTCCCTACAAAACAATCTTGTCAGTGGTAAGGTTAATCACAAAGCATTTAGTAGAGGTGAATGCTACAAGGTTACCTCTATCACATAGTTGTGACACACTCATCAGATTGTATTTCAAGCCATCTATCAAGTAGACATTCTCAATGGAGTGAGAGTCTGTCTTACCTACCTTTCCAACCCCAATGATTTCACCTTTCTTCCCATTTCCAAAGGAGACATTGCCTCCCCTTAGGTCCTCAAGTGAAAGGAACTGGTTCTTGCTTCCAGTCATAT